ATGACCATTTTTTCTCCTGAAGGATTATACTCAGTTTTGCTGGGTAGGTGATTCTTGGCTATAATCCTATCTCGTTTGCCCTCCGGAATATTATATTACATGGCCTGCAGTCCTTTAATGTAGAAGCTGCTAAATCTTGTGTTATCCTGATTGTGTTTTCACAATACTTGAATTGTTTCTTTCTGGCAGCTTATAATATTTTCTCCTTAACCTGGGAACTCTGGAATTTGGCTACAATATTCCTAGGAGTTTTCCTTTGGGGATCTCTTTCAGGCGGAGATCGGTGGATTCTTTCAATTTCTATTTTGCCCTCAGGTTCTAAAATATCAGGGCAGTTTTCCTTAATAATTTCTTGAAAGATGATGTCTAGGCTCTTTTTTTGTTCATGGCTTTCAGATAGTCCAGTAATTTTAAAATTCTCTCTCCTGGATCTATTTTCCAGGTCAGTTGTTTTTCCAGTGAGATATTTCACATTGTCTTCTATTTTTTCATTCTTTTGGATTTGTTTTATAGTGTCTTGATTTCTCATAAAGTCACTATCTTCCAATTGCTCTATTCTAATTTTTAAGGAAGTATTTTCTTCAGTAATCTTTTGGACTTCCCTTTCCATTTGGCCAGTTTTCCTTTTTAGGGCATTTTCTCCTCATTGGCTTTTTGGACCTCTTTTGCCATTTGGGTTAGGCTTTTTTAAGATGTTATTTTCGTCAGTATTTTGGGGGGGTTCAAGGAGAGATTTTAAAGAACCTTTAAAACTCCTTACTAGCTGTGTGACCCTGGGCAAGTCAGTTAACCCTGATTGCCTCACCCAAAAGACAAAAAAAAGAATCCTTAAACTCTCTGGAAACTCATTTAAAAAAACCCTGGATACTGTATGTTAAGAAATCTTTTTTTTTTGTTTGAAGTGGACGACTGAAACATTTTTAAAATGCACAGAAAAGAACAAAAGGAAGTTCAAAAAGAAACACAGATAAGCAGGGCAGTTTTCAAAGTAACATGAATTATTTTCTTTTAAAAGCAGCAGTATGAAATAGAGATTCACTGTTTCATATACAATCTTGTGTGTTCTGCTGTATATATGGAAAGGGTCATTTTTGAGGTGTTTAAGTTCAAAATAACTTTTTTTAAAAAAACTTAAGGCACTATTTAAATGTCATTTATTATCGCAGTTATTTTCATAGATTTAGAGTTGTAATGACTGTGAATGACTCAGAAGGCATTTAGTCCAACTACTTCATTTTATAGATGAGGAAGGGAAGGTGGTCCAGTGGATAGAGACTGGGCCTTCAGTCAGGAAGAACTGAGTTCAAATATGGCCTTCGAGATGTACTAGCTGTGTGGCCCTGGGCAAGTCCCTTAACCTCTCTGCCTCAGTTTCCTCAACTGTAAGATGGGCATAAGTAGCACTTTCAGGGTTGTTGTGAGAACCAAATGGGATCATAGGATGCAGTGTGTGGCACATAGTAGGACTTGTATAAGTGCTTGTTTCCTTCCCATTCCCTTCACTCCTCTTCCTTTTCCTTCCCTGAAGTGAGCTGGCCAAGGTTGCTTGGATAGTAAATAATCAAGCTAGAGTTCATACCACAGACCCTCTAAAAACCCAGGGTATCTTCCATGGTAATACTGTATTTCTCCCTACTTCTTGAGTTATTGTTATGAACAATTCTATTATACCATCCTGTAGGTTTAGAAGATTTGAGCTGAATGTTCCAGAACATACCCTGAAGTTGTCTTTATTACTAAATCATGTGAAAGCTTGTTTTTATTATGAGTTACCTCAAATCACCACCACCATGATTGTAAATGGCTAATAGGAGGTCCCAATTATTAGGGGTCTATATAATAAATGTTCTGTTATGCTAGTGTGGATAGATAACGATACAGGCTTGTGTAAAGGCTAGTGCCCTGAAAGTCCAAGATTTTAGTCTGGGCTCTGGCACTGAAAAAGCCATGTGACCTCAGGCAAATTATGTGGAAGAAAAGATACCTGTAAGCCATAGTAACAGTTCCAGAGATGGTGACTTGCTTCTCTTTATCCCTGCCCCTGAACTAGAAGCAAGTAGTTCTGCTTCTTGTGCTCACTCGAGAGACAAATGACTGAAAACAATAGTGGAAAAACCGAGAAGGGGAGATAAATTGATTTTCCCGTCTTCAGGCTCTTCTCCTCAACCGCGACTCCTTTTCAATTATGCAGTATGCCAGTCAGACATGTTAATTGTCTTCCTTTATTGCTGGACCAAGAATGAAACCACCTCTGGCGTCCTGGCATTGTCATTTAGACAACCTGATGAGGAGATTAAGTCCAGAAATGGTGACTCCTTATACCTGTTGGGCTGATGCGTTACCCTTAGGATTTTTGATTCTTCTGACGAACTTCCCCTATCCTGCCCACTCCAAACAGCCTCTTAGAAGATCATAGTTCAGAGTCTCCATCAGCAATGACTGATCTCTTCTGGGACTCAAAGACCTTGACTCAGTACCAGCAGTCAGGAGCAATGCCAGATTGTTTCTTTTGCCCGTGGTGTGTCCTAAAGTGATATGGCTTGTCCACGTTTCCTGCCTTGGACTGGTGACAGCATCTGGAATACCAAGCCAGAGATCGCCCAGTTTGTTTTCCTTTCTCTAACCTTGTTAAGCTCGATGTTTTTGTCATTCTGGTTTTGCTTTACTGAATTAAGACTGCTCTTTGTCTGGGGTATTCATATTCTGTGTAATAACTAGAACTTAGATGATAGAACTTCTCCAAGAAAACCAGATTGTAAATTGAATGGTAGATCTTTCCCCTCTGTCTGGCCTCCTGCCCTTGACTGTAATAGGGCTGACGTATCTTGGCTGCTCTTGGAAACTAGTCCTGTGGTGCTCTGCATTAATTGGTGGGAAACTTTGTTTCTGGAGGAAGTGAACCAATTAGATATAGCACATAGAAAGCTAGAGATTATGTCCCTTGGTTTGCAGAAGGACTTTGTTGTCCTGAATAAGGAGAATGTGTAAAGGGTAGAGTATCCTAGTAAGGGCTCTTCTTAAGAAAGCAAGCGAACTTTCAAATGTAAGCCCTGGAGATGAGGGATAGCCGAGGTAATGGATAAGTTTCTCCTCCTGTTATTTAGGAGGTACCTAATTAAATTCATTAGGGGTATTTGCCTAAATACCTGGATAGGTAAATGGTGGCTTACTTCCAGAATATGTTTTGGAGAGTCTGGTGGAAATATTAACAAGAAGGAGGTTGTAATTTGTGAAGTGGGGCCAAGGGCTTTAACAATAGAAATGACACCCTATTATATAGCTGCAGTCTTTCCTACCTTACTGATTCCTACCTATTTTTCAAATGCTGCCTCTTTACTTCCCTCCCTACCCAAGCCCAGGATGACCTCTTCCTTCTCTGAACCCTTCAGTGACCTTTAGGAACATGGGATTGAGAGCTAGGAGGTTCTTAGAGATCATCTAGTTTTAACTCCTTCCTTTTTTCTACCTGTAGCACTGTCTGTATTAATCATTTGCTGTTTACCATTGTGCCTTCTTTTTTGTTTATCTTCTTATGTTGTCATGACTCATCCCCACAACTAAATCATGAATTCTTTGAGGATAAGGAACTTCTTTGTATCTTCACCTGTTCTACATAGTGTAGAAATGCAAGTACTGCGTTTGTTCATTAGTTGAAGATGATTCTGAGGACCACAGCATCCTGGAAGGGACTTTTGAGGATCAGAGGTTCAGTAACTTGCCCAACGGGTAGTTAAATGATAGAGCAGACATGCACAGCCAGGGACTTTGGTGCATCTGCACCAGACCCAGCCCTCTTCCATTGCCATCTGTGTCTCTGAACATGTGTGCATATGTGTATTCCCCTATAAGAATGAAGTGTGGTGTTGATCTGACACAGCAAAGATCACTTACCCAAAGAGAAAATGATAAATCCATAAAGTGACAGATACTGCTTTTTAGGCAAATGATACCTGTGATATTCAGGAAGACAAGAGCTTGAGGGGGAGAGGGTCAGTTGAACTGGGAATAACTCCCTTGAGAAACTCGTGGTCTTGGACACATTTGTAAGCCTAACAAAAAGTTGGCATTTATGAATTCCTAGCCTCTACCCTGCCACCAGTGGGGAGGGGGGCGATGGTCCTCCATCCTTTCCACCTGTCAGTGTTCCCTCTGTTTCCCTTCTGAAGGAGGACATTGCAGTGAAGTGCCTGCGGCGTGAATTATACATCTGTACATCTATTTTAGGAGGTTGCCGGAGGTCTCTCATATCCTTCCTCCCTTTCTAGCTGCCGTTTGGCTGTTCAGTATGCCTTGTTGCTTCCTTCTTTGGCCCAGGTTCCTACACTATATTAAGACCTGCCCCTAGGCCTACAGATAACCAGGTCCATTTGATTGAGATGGAGCATTGAACTATCTTACAGGTGGATTCAGCCACCAAGCTCTTGGCTCAGAGGCAACAGATGCCAGAAGATCTTTGGGAACAAAAATGGTTTAAAGCCTCTAAAGCACAAACCTTGGGGGAAAAAAATAAAATACTTTTAAGTGGGAAAAGAAAATAAATAAAGCGCAAACCTAGGCCTCTGCTTTGACCTTCTGAATTTAGTTCATTTTGATTAGACTATGAAACACCATCATAACATGGGTGACGAGGAATAGGATTAATATCTTCCCTCTAGGTTAACTGTTACATCTGGCTTTATGTTATGTCCAAATCAGCATAGTGGTGAAGTGTGTTATAGTAAGGATATATATTATAGTTGTTTCTTCCTTCATTACTTGGTCTCCGTGAACTTAGAGCAAAATGGGAAAAGGGAGGTGTAAAAATGCAGGGAGCTAAATTTCCCTTTTTAATTTTGGCATCTTGATTTTTATAGCAGTCACCAAAAACTTTGGCTTTAGTTCCTTAGGCCCTCTACCTGTTGGGGATCAGGGTATTAGTCTTCTTGCAGTATTATTTAGCTAAAATATCCAGGAAAATTCCTTGAGTTTTATACTTCATCTGTTTCTTTCCTTCTTTTTAGTGTGTCCTCGACCACCAGCACCAGAAAATGGTGGCTTCATCTGCCATCCAACCCCCTGTAAAGATCCCTTGGCATCAGGCAGTGTCATCGAGTACCTTTGTGATGAAGGCTACATGCTGAAAGGGGATTACAAATACCTGACATGTAAAGATGGGGAATGGAACCCAGCCATGGAGGTCAGCTGCCATCACAGCCAAGGTCAGCCCAGCACTGATGCTAAAGGATATGAGGGAGAAAGTGCAATTCCCTTTTGGAAGTGGGAAGTCGTGTCTACTTCCTGCAGTGTTGGCCCGAGTGTAATCTGTACACAGGCTACTTGCACGTACAAATCACAGGTTCCAATGCCCCCCTCATCCCCCTTCTCCTTGTAAACTCTGTCTTTGTGAAAGACATCTGTCACTAGTGCACATGCCACTGCATGTAACTGAAGGGTGACCTTTAAGATGCTTGATAATTTGCCAAGATATTTCCCTGGTATAAAGATTAACTCTTCTGATTCTCAAAGTCTCTTGTTTTCATAGCCAACTGCTGGTGACCTTTGAGCCTCATCTTCTGGACACAGTGATTATTGTTCTCTACTTCTTTCCCTACCCTATCCCCTCAGTGGAAATTGACTCTTTTGTTATGTGTACAACAGTCCAGCTGGAGAGATCTCTCTCCCCTTGTATTTGACCTAACAGGAAAACACATGCAGCCTGTAGGAAAGTGTGTGTCATATGCCCTGTTTGTGCTTCATGCATGGATTTCTAATCCAAACCATGTTTAGCCCATGCAGCCTTAGGGGAAGCCCTGAGGGGCGAAGAAAAGTGAGTGTTTCTTACAGAAGCTGGAACATGAGTCGTTCTCCGTCCAGCTGTCACAGGCTGTTGTTCTGCAGGAAAACACAGGTGAAATCTAAGACATCACAGTGACACTCACTAGTTCACAATTGATTTTTAAAACTTCCTCCTGCTATCAGAGAGAGAGGTAATTTGAGTAGATCCAATGACCTAATCGTGGTAGTTATATATAGGTATAGGGAGCCAAAAGTGAGGAGAATTCGGTATTTAGGAATCAAGATGAGGAAAGTTTCGCAGTGATGTGTATGACAGAGCTTGACATGTATTTGTTGGCCCATCCTCTATTTGGACTGGTAGGTTGGGTTTTGTGGGTATGGACAGCTACTGATGGCTGCTTGTTTCTGTAGACAAAGACATTCGCACAACGATCGGTGTGCCTGCCCTGTCCATAGTGGCCTCTACAGCAAGCTCAGTAGCACTCATCCTTCTCCTGGTTGTGCTTTTTGTTCTGCTGCAGCCAAAGTTGAAGTCCTTCCATCATAGCAGGTGAGCTGGAGGGATGGGATAGAAAGTGGGGAGGGGGGGAATTCGTAGGTGTCTTAGAAAAAATGGACAGTTGGGGCTCACAAATGCAACTTTTAGAAAAGCCCTGGACTCACCCAGGCTCTTTTTTCCTTTCCATTTTCAGAAGTTCAAGAAGGCAACGTAGACTTCCCATTCTGTACTTGGGGGTGGCTGCTTAAACCTGATTTGACTTCTAGGCCCCACTGAGCTAGAAGCATAGGAAGGGAAATGATTTTTTCCTCTCTGTCCTTATCGCATTGCATCTCTCCTTAATTAGCTAGCCAAGGGTACCAATATCCTGGACTGTAAGGGTGTCTCCCCTTGAAGAATTACCCAGCTCTGTCTCACAACTGCCTTGGAATTCACCGAACTCAGGGAGCTATGCTAGCACACGGGAACTACAAGCACAAAATAAAAAATGGTCTCTGCCCTCAAGGCGTTTACAGTCTGCCAGGAAATTCTGGAGCTCACTCATGCTTTCTCATGGTAGAGGCCACCTTCAGCTACAGAGCTTTTTCTGGGCTTGACTAGAGGTTTTAAGAGGCTTCTCGTTCTTATGTAAAGTAAACAAGTCCCTTCACACACTCCTTCTAGTAACTCAGTTCAGTTCCTCTTATTCTTTGTGGGTTTTTTTTTTTGTTTTTTGGGCAGTTGGGGTTAAGTGACTTGCCCAGGGTCACACAGCTAGTAAGTGTCAAGTGTTTGGTCTGAGGCTGGATTTGAACTCTGTTCCTCCTGACTCCAGGGCTGGTGCGCTATCCACTGCGCCACCTACCTGCCCCTCTTCCTCTCATTCTAATCACTAATCATTCTTCTGGTCACTAATTCACATTCTGGTATGAAATGTAGAATAAGCCAACATTCATTTAAATTTCCAGACAGGAGTTGAAGTAAAGTTTACCTTTGTGTATCTAGGTGGGGTTGTTTGTTTTGTGTTTGTTTGTTTTTGTAATTGTTCTGTTGTTTTAAAAGAAAAGGTTCTGACCATATCAATAAGTGTAAAATAAGATTCTAAGGGGTAATTGCACATTTTTAAGGGGACTATTTTCAAATATTTAAACATACGTTAGGGGCTAGAGCCTGGATCTGTTATTTCTCTAGTATTGGAAACTCCCTGGAGATGGAACTCCGACTACCAATGCAGGTTGACTCCTTCCCCTCAGCTCAACCAAAAAGCTGAGTAACTTTCTCAAGGTCACACAGCCAGTGTATGTCAGAGGTAGGACCTGAACTCAGGACTTGCTGGTTTCAAGGTTGGCTCTCTATCCAGTAAAGCAGATATACAAATTATGTTGACCAGCCAATATTTTGTTAGACCAAATGAGTAACTAAGTATTTGAAAATAATAAAAACCAATTCTCAATTCAAACTTTCTCTCAGTTAATTTTAATTAGTGCCCTTTTCCTGTAGGTAACATACAAAATCTAGTGCAAGAAATGAACTTTTAATGAGGGACATCTCATGTTTACATAGACTACGCTCTGCTTTCCGTGCCATCTTTTATAACAATTCCCCTTTCTTCCAAAGACTGCTAAATATTTTACAGATGCCACGTCATTAATGTTCACAGCTTTCCCTGTGAGGAGGGAGGATGGCAGGAAGGATTATATTTACTGATGGGTAAAGTGAGGAAACTGAGAGATGAAACCAAAAGTCAGAGGTATAATCATGGAAAGAATTAAAGTTTCTTGACTCCCAGACCAGCGCCCCCAATTTACTAGACTCCGTCCCATCCCTCCCTCTCTTGTCTGGCTTTGGCAAGTAGATGGCACAGTTTTCTTGCAGCTTTTAAATTTATAAATAAATAGATTATAAAGTGCTCGTATCTAACTATTGTTGCTTTCCTTCCTCCCTTTTCTACCCTGAATGTAGGCGTGACCAAGGGGTATCTGGTGACCAGGTCTCCATTATGGTGGATGGTGTTCAGGTGGCCTTGCCGTCATATGAAGAAGCAGTGTATGGCAGCTCTGGGAATTCTGTGCTGCCTTCTAACTCCCGAGTGCAAATTGTGTTGTCTGAAGGGGCCGGGCCAAGCAGCACAAGGGAAGTGCAGCAGCAAGACCAAGGAAGCCATGTCTGCTCTTCCTCAGGGGGAGAGGATGATGCCCCAGAGCACTCCAGCTTAGGTGATGCCCGCAGTGCTCAGCGCGCAGAGACTGTGATGGTGCACCAGGCCACCACCTCCTCCTGGGTGGCCGGCCCGGGAAACAGCCATCCAGCACACAAAGACGCTGCAGACTCAGAAAACAGCGACATACAAAGCCTTTTATCTCTCACTTCTGAGGAATATACAGATGGTAGGTGGTCTCACTGATCAAGGATTCCTGACTGCTCAGGACTTTCCCTGCAGAATCAGCAAAGATTCTAGTTTTCTTTCAATCTCTCTAGTGCCATAATAGATTTAATTTATGTTCATTTTGTACTTTGACATAAAGGAGAGAGATGGCTAGGAAAGGAGAGACTCTGTACTCTAATTCTTCCTGAACTGGGGCACTTTGGCCTTTTCTGTGAAGCTCTGCCAAGGTCAGGGAACATTCTACTGTGACTTTTGCAGAATTGTGGTGGATTGGGAGGTACAGAGAGAATTTCTTACCCCTTTTTTCTTGCTCTGTCCAAAGTGGCCTGGTGCTGATTATTTTATCAAAGAATTAAGAGCCGATTGAACAAAATGGGGAGAGGGGGGACCATTGTAATTGTTCGTCAAGATGATGACAGAGAAGGCTTGGATGGGAGTAGGGGAAGGGAATAAGCATTTATATGGCACCTCACTAAAGGCTTTATAAATATTATGTCTCTGATCCTCACAGCAGCCATGTGAGATAGGTACTGTTGTTGTCCCCATTTTACATTTGAGGAAACTGAGGTGAACAGGTGAAGTGAATTGCCCAAAGTCATAGAGCTAGTAAGTGTCTGAGGTTAGATTTTAACTCAGATCTTCTTGATTCCAGGCCCAGCGCTCTGTGTGTGCCCTATGGTGACACCCAGCTGCCTCTATTCTAGGAGAAATAAGAGCTTTTCTCCCTTTCTGAATAGATATCTCACTCTGTTTTGAAGCATGGAATCATGCGGTGTCAATGTCAACCTCATCCCATTATGGAAAGCTGTTGTGTGTATAGCGAAGACTTCAGCTTGCTGAGCAGCTAAGATATTGAGGTCCTGGCAGGCTCCTCCCCTGAGTTTCTCCCAGTTAAGTCTGTGACGTGGCTGAATAAGCACTGGATCTGGAGTCAGTAGACTCATTTAGGTTCTTACTCGTCCACCTCTCTCAGTCTCCTGCTCTGAGTGAGGATGAGGAATCACGTTGCCCTCACTACCTCGCAAGACTATGAAGATCAAATTAAGCACACTTAGAAGTCGTTAAGTGCTGTATTTATATCAGCTGTCACTGGTGTTATCCTTCAGAGGGAGAAACTAACATTTGCCATGGATGCTGGGTATAATAGTTTTAAAAACTTAAAAATACCAGGAGTCGAGAATTGTGAAGTTACTGTTGGTTGAATGTAGCAAAGGTACATCCGCGTGTCTAGGCAGCCTCTCCTAATTGAGCAAAAAGGTAGTAAAAAAGTAGTCCATTAAAAAGCTGACCCATATTTTAAACATAACTCCCAAAGCTCTCTTTATAAATGGAGTAGCTACCATGCGTGGAGTGAGGCAGGTAGCAGGGGCTAAGTTATTTTGTCGCAGCTACTGTTTGGGGTCTTTTGGCTTTTCTTTTTCTTTTTTCTTTTGTAAAGCATGCATTGCTTTTCCCAGAAAAACATAAGTGAAGTCAAACAGAGTCTCACATGTACTCTCTGAAACTGAATTGCATAGATTATGCCTCGAAAGCTGTGTGGTTAGAGGCGTGTGTCCTCTTGACTTACTTCACTCTGGAGTTTACAGTCGATAGTCCATTATAGACCTCACTGCCATTCTACTACAAAGGGTACCCAAGAAGTTCTGGTTGACCCTTTTTTTCCCTCTCCCCTCACTTCAGTGTCCAAGTCATTCAGGAACTTAAATCAACAAATATTTTTTTAACCATTCTGTGTGTGCCACATAGAAGTAAAAGAAATATAAAATGTGGCCTCTGTCCCTGAGCTCACAATATAGTTTTGAAAACAGGGCATATCCTCAGGAAATAGTTAATATGAGGTTGTATATGAGTGCTGTCTGAGAACTGAGAAAGGAGCAGCTCAGTTGTCTACAGTCGGCTGTGAAAGCTTCAGCCTTGTAAGCTTGACCTTGGGAGATAGGAAGGCATTTGATGAGAGAAACAGCAGGAACAGAGTTCTAGAACTGGGAAGAAGGTTGGCATATTCAGAGGGGCAGTAAGGGGAAATGAAGAGTGAGGGCAGGAAAATATGGGAGATGGAGGAAGAGGGGGCCAGATTACAGGGTTGGATATCAGACTTTGTCCTGTGGGCAGTGGGGAAAATATGGGAGATTCTCCTCAGCTGTCCCCTTCTGCACCTTCTCTGGCTCCCTCGAAGTGTGCATAAGTAAGAGGACTGCCTGGGCATTTTTATTTTTACTACTTAATGCTTTTAAACAGAAGACTCCATATAGAGAGCTCTAAAATCTTGACACTGGATTGAAGCAAGGAGTGTTAACCATTTTCTTCTTCTTGTATCTCTTGTAGATATCCCGTTGTTGAAAGAAGCATGAAGTTTGCTGCCGTCTTCATGTGGCCTCCTTCCCCTTTACGTTGTTCCTTCCTGCCCCCTTCCATTTCCCCGGGGGTTTTGAGCACTCTGTGCAGCCTCTATGCCCAGTCCTATGCCCTCCTGCCCTGGTGATTAGAGCAGCGCCCCAAAGTCACTCCTGGCCGACCATCCAAAGGAAACCTTTGCTGGGCAGCCAACGGGGCTGGTCCCGCGCTTGGCCTCTCCTGCCTCTCTCTTTCTGGAACTTATTTGAGTGAGCTGAGATTGGGCCCTTCCTTCCTTCCACCTCCTCAGACCTCTTCAGCCCTCCCCTCAGCCAGCTGTTTAGCAGCGGCCCCCCGCAGGCCATAGCACGGCTGTCTTTACTTGTGCCTTCCCCCAGCCCCCAGGCCTGTTGGCTCCACACTGGCCTGAGTGGTTGCGCTGTTGCTGCTGCTGTTGCTGCACAGGATGCAAAAGGTCTATGGGGCCAGTGCCCCCACCATTACTATTAGTAGCAGTAAGCCCAAGGTTGGGAGCTTGCTGGTGAGAAAAGGCTTCAGGGTAGAGGCAGTGATCATGGGGGGATTGGAGGTGGAAGAAGAGGGGAATCACCCCCCAGTGGCTGCCTTGTGATGAGCAGCTGTATACTTGGATGACACCTCTGTGACTTCTTTAACTATTTAATAGAGGGATTATTAAGAATCATGCCAGTTTTCAGTAGTTCTGTGTTGATCAATCCAGGGGCCAAGAATGCTGGCCCCTCTTTAATTGATATTTTTAGGTGATACATGTGAGAGATCTTGAAGGTGGGGAAGGGAGAGCATGTGGAGGAGGCAGCTGGTGTCTTTCTAATATGCAAGATCCCACTTACGAGTCTTGGCTTTCTCAGCCATGACCTTTGTCTCGCCCCCATTCTCTAGATTCTAAAGGAAAGCGACATGTGGCCTCCGGGGTTTGTTTTCCTTTTCCCAGGCCCCTGTGCCAGAAATGGCTCATCTGTAGAAAGAAGAAGAGAAGTCAGAAACCATCTCGTTCCCGTCGTCATTCCCTCCTGCACATGCTGGTTTCCCAGGCTTGCAACTAGCATTTTGGGCCAGTTGCATCTTTCTGGGTGTGTGGTAATATTATGGAGCTGGAGGAGCTGACGTGCACTCCTCTCCCCGACACAGTGCCTTGGGTGTGGCTGCAGGCAGCCCAAACCCTGGGTCCTGAGCATTCCTGTCAACACAGTCACGTGCCTTAGTAACTGTGCCCAAGAAGCACCCTGCTACTTAGTGCTGCTGCTTTTCCCCCTTCACCTTTTCCTCTCCCACCTCCCCTTCCTCTTTCTCCTTTGTCACAGCTGACAGATGACTTTCTTGTCTTCCTTGGAGCTCAGGCAGAAGGGCTAAGAAAGAGCCTGAGCTACCACCCTCACTCCAGTAAGGGGACGGCCTTGCTGGGGGTGAATGGTTGCTTAGCAACTCTGCTCAAGTGGCACTTAGGTTGAGGGATAGAGAGGGAGGGGTACTCTAGAAGAGCCGTGTGTGTTTGGGGAGCAGGCATCATTCTCTAGGGCCATTGGTTTCCTAGAGAAAAGACCAGAGTGAAGGCATTTAGGCTTTTTATAAGGTTACTTGGCAGAGCCTCCCATAGACAGCTTCCATGATGGTGTACGTAGAGAGCGATTCAGTTCTTTGACCATCGTGAGAGCTCAGAAGGACGTTGGATAAAGGGGACCGAGGCTTGGGAAGCTCTTAGAAACACTGGGGCAGAAGACTTGGAAGATGCCCCTCTTTTATTCTTCTCCCCCCAGCTGCCTTTTCCAGATGGTGGTAATAACTTCCCATTATTATGTAACCTGCTCAACAGAGTGTTTGGGGACTACCTGCAGCTGTCTTAGACAATGGGAGTGACCACAAAGAACAACTAGAAAGAGAAACTTCTCTCAGCCAGCAGTGTGGCTGCCTCCCCCCTTAACCACCCGTACACATCCTTACACACCGCACTTTATTGCACTGTCATCCCCTTGTTTTAGCAACAAGAAGCAGTCTCGCTTCCTCCTAGAGTCATAATAATAGCTGACATTTATGTGGCGCTTTGTAAGGGAAGTGCCTGTTGTGTTCCATTATTTACTTCCTCCCCACTTGCCCTCCACTACCACACCACATAACTTACCCAAAGCCATGTGAGTTGGCTGGGAATTTGGGGAGAGGCCCTGTAAGGAGACTTCACAGCAGGCACTGCTGCTTCGGAGATGAACTTAAGACTAGGAGAGTGCAATGAAGCAAAAAGGATGGCAAGTGAACCCCCTGTCTCCGCAACCACTTTTAGTATCTAGAACCACAGGCAGCTTCTGGTCCCCGGGAGGAGTAGGGGGAGGGTCCCTCATGCCCACTGCTGCCTGGCCACAAGTGGAGCGTGCCCAAGCCCTTCCTTTCAGTCTTCATAAAATGGTGAAAAATAGAAACAGTTGAGGGAGAGACGATCCTGCCTCCCTATCAAGCCTTCAGCTGGTGCTTTCCAGTGTTTGAATATCTGCATGGACCTATGTCCCAGGATACCAGAAAGAGAATATCTTAGCATGTTTTTTTGTTGGAATGATCCTGTCCTCAAAGAATACACTCCAGGACCCTATGTTTACTGAGCATCAAGTGGACTGTTTGCTGGCCCTTTAAAAAGGGAAAAAGAAAGCTTCCCCATTTCTGAAGATCCCTTCCACTGGTCTTGGTCAGACAGAGCAGCCTACCCAGGGGACTGACTGCATGCCCAGACATGCTGCCAAATTAAAAGGGAAAAGGAAAAGGTGAGGAGGAGACTAAATCCATGAGTCCTTTTCCCCCACCTGCTTTGGTTACTGGAATATGAAATAAAGGCAGGGCTGTTGAGAAACCTGTATTGGATTAAATTAGACCTCTTTCGTTAAATAGCCTATCCTGTGTAGGCTACACGTTAGCTGCTACTAACCAGAACAGCTTCAAATAGAGTAATTCCCTCCCTCCCCCAGAACAACCTTTTAATGACTCCTCAGCAGGAAAACAGCTGGCATTTAGCCCCTCAGTACTGTTTTCAGGACTCATGGACTTGACTTTGACAATTGTAAAGGGATTCAGGGAGTTTAACAGCTGCTTTGAGGTGGGTCCTGGCCAAGAGACAAAGGCATGCTCTATTGGATAGAGCAACTAGGCTGGTTGTTGGTGGTCCCTAGAAGAAAAAAAAAAGGGTACCCAAAGGAGCTTCTTTGGATGGGAATGAGACACACTGTTTGACAAAACACAAACCACTGTAGGTGAACTGAGCAAAAAGCATGTGTCAGCTTTTTAGGTCTTAGGAAAGTAATGGTCAGCACCAAAGGACTAAATTTTTTTTTCTTTTTTTTCTTTTTTGCACAAAAAATATTCTGTCTGCCTCAGTGCAAGTTTTATATCGTATTGACTTGCACCATCATAATTACTTCAAAGAGAACCAGTGTAAGGTGAAAACTCTTCTTAAAGTAATACCTGTTCTTTGCAATGCCTTAGTTTAACACTTTGCCATCTCTGCAGTTTGTTTACTTTGCCACCTCCCGTTGCACCTGGTGTCAACTTGACCACTTTGGTGCTGTGCTGTTGTTTCCCCCTAATTCTTCTGAGTTGGGGTTCCAGCACTGCCCAGGAAAGCTTCCATCTAATTCTTTTTCCAAGCAGATTTTATTAGATACAGTATTTCACTGTACTTTCTATAAATCTATTTAAAAACAAAATTTAAACTAATATCCTCATTTGCCTCCATTCTTCAGATACATCTGTCTGTCCCCCTCCTGCACATTCTAATAACCTCTAATGAGAAGCTACCTAGCAAGACAAAGGTATAGTTTTCCTGCTTTCATTCCCAGGAACACCAGAGTAGCAGTCTAGTCATCCTTTCCTGCATCCTAGCCTAGCTTTCAGGTTCTTTGCTTGCATATCTCCTGCTTCCTACATTTTTAGGAAAGCATGTGAGCACAGAGATTGGAATATACTATAAAAATGTCTGTCTTGGCTTTAAAAAAAAAAAAAGACAGGCCCCACAGTTAGGTTCCAGATGTGGGTTGGGGATGGCAAAACTGCCTTTCCCACGGGAACCATTTGGCTTCCTTCTTTTCGTTGGATTCACTCTGCCTGTTGCCAGGAGAGGAGTTGAAGCGCTTTTTTTTTTTTTGCTTTGGACAGATGTTCTGGTTGAGCACTGTACCTGATAGCTTCCATGAAAAGGGGGAAAACAATGGATTGGACCTTACTAGGAAGCAATGCCTGCTTTGGTTTTGGCTTAAACTTGAGGTTTTCAAATGAAAGCCCCAAAGCCTGACTGAGTACTCTGCCAAGCAGAGGAGGGGAGTCCAGGAGGGACAAGTGTGGGAGCTGAGGTGTCAGACTACCAGTGAGGGAAGAGATTGGTAGTTAAGCCAGCAAGAGTTTGGTGGCCTATCACGCATTTCTTCAGTTCTTATCCAAACTGCACCACTATGGAATCCTTTGTAGAATGGTACTCATACATAATGTGGGACTTCAAACAACAGATAAGTAATTGATGCTGTGCAGGATGTCAATCATTTTTATTTTGCTTTATTTTATAAACATGTATCCTGTACATTGCAGTGGGTGTGAAGATAGTATTTTAATATTTGTACAAAGTTTAATTTAATTTTAATTGTTCTATGTATATAACTGCATTTCTAAATAATAATAATAAAAGCAAGTTATTTTAAAATGATCAAGCAGTGTGGTCCATCTTTCCAGAAATTTTCTGCTAAAAGTTTGAGATGAAATTCATGAATAACGGGCTAGAGTGAAGACGATTTTAGTTAAGGACTGACAGGCTGTACAATTTATATATTCCTGGCATTGGCCATTACCAGAGCCACCCATCCAGTTTACTTTATACCACCTGTGCTGCGTGCTGAGGGATCAAACATAGTCCCTGTGATCACAGAGCTTATAGCCCTTTAGAAGGAAATAGAACTGACACAACTAATACATGGGAAATAAAGGTAAACACTGAGCTATTTGTGGTGCCACAAAGGAAAGGTCATTATCTGCGGGGGAGATTAGGGCAGGCTTCCTCAAAGAGTGGGGCATTTGAATTGGGTTTTGTAATGCTTTGGAATTCAACAGACCAAGGGAGTGGGTTAGAACAGGCTAAGCATTCCTAGAAAAGGTTGTGAAGGAGCCACGAAAATGTGAGGTAGGATGGGCAGGCAGTGACCACTATCGTGCATTTGTGGGATAACCAGTTGGACTGGGGTGCAGTGTAGGGCCTTGAAACAACTAAACTGACTGGCTTACAGGCAGGTTTTTTACCTTGACTTTATTGGCCCCATGTGCTAAACAGCTGAGGGAATCAGCCACGGGATGCTATCGAAGAGAAAATGAACTTAGAAAAAAGTTGAAAGTTGACCTAGAGGGACCTAAGCAAGGGAATCATGGTGGACAAAATGCAGATTTTGTTTTTGTTTTAGGTAATTGGAGTTAAGTGACTTGCCCAGGGTCACACAGCTAGTAAGTGTCAAGTCTTTGGTCTGAGGCTGCATTTGAACTCAGGTCCTCCTGACTTCAGGGCCAGTGCTCTATCCACTGCACCACCTAGCTGCCCCTTTCCTACCTTTTTAACTGAAATTCAACATTTCGTTATGCATGTGGGCAATATGCCATTATTTTTAGAATGGGTCCATCACACAGAAAAGTTGGGCCCCTTGACTGAGGTCTATTCCAGTGGTCTCCAAACTTAGGGTGGGGAAGAAAAGTGACATGGCCTGACCCCAAGCAGTATGTGATAAATTATATAGTGGGGAGATGAGTCATATTTCACCCAACATTCTGCTAAGCCTCCTCTTACTGCTGTCTAAGCTGCTGAATCCCTTTCTTCCAAGTCAGATATCAGTCCCTCAGGGGACTAGTGAATACCTGGGAACTTAACAGAAGTTGCAGAAGTACCATTGGGAAAATTCACAAACACCTCAAGCCAACCAGCTCTATCTATATCCCTCCACCCCATCACCTTGGTGGCTGTGCCCCTCACAGACAGGGTGGGCTTTGCAATCCAGTGACTAAGAGCCCCATCACCCCCCTTCTTCATTTTGATAGGAACACAAGAGACAGGATTAGCAGGTCTGGATGGGCTTTGACCCACATTGAAGCTTTCATTACATTATCTTTCCACTAAAACCCACTCCTGAATTTCCCTATTACTGTTTAAGGGCATCATCATCTTTCCCTCATCCAGGTTCACACCTTGGTATCATCCTCAACTGATCATTCTCCCTACATATCCAGTCTGTTAGTGAAGCTCGTCTTTTCTACCTCCAAATATTCTGCATTTGCTCCCCTTCTCTCCAACTCATTTAGCCTCTAGCCTAGTTCAGGCCCTCATCACCTGTTGCCTGAACTATTGCAACCACCACCTAACTGGTCTCCCTCACTGGAATCTTTTGCCATTCCAATTCATCCTCCAGTAAACTGCCAAAATGTTCTTTCGAAAGCACAAGTCTGACCATGTAGCTCTCCTATTCAATAAATTCCAACTTTACATAATCCCTTTTAAATTTGTTTTTGTGTATGTTTTATGATATATAATTATCAATAAGTAATAAACATATATTGGGGGTACACACTCAAAAAAAGTTTTTCTGATAAGGAATCTAAAATGTTTGAACACCATTATGATATTCTATGACTTTCCATTGCTAGCTTAGAACTTTTAGCTCACATTTTACCTGTGTAGATTCAGGAGTTCTTAACTTTTTGTGAGTGTCATGCTTTGCATACCTCTTCTCGGAGCAATGTTTTAAATTCATGAAGTAAAATGCATAAGATTACAAAGGAGACCAATTATACTGAAATATAGTCATCAAAATATTTTTTAAACATTTATTTACTTTTAGTTTTCAACATTCACTTCAATAAGATTTTGAGTTCTAAATTTTCTCCCCCTCCTTTGCCTCCCCCTACCCCAAGACAATGTGCAATATGATATAGGCTCTACATGTACATATTAAAATACCTTTTTAGACAACAACTTTAGGGGAAAAAAAAGTTTAGGGAGAAGAGATGTGACAGGACACTCCTGACCCACCCCTTTGTGGAGGTGGAAGGTCCACAGGTATTTTCATTTTTTCAATGTATTGCTTGATTGTATAGATTATTTTTTCTTTTTTCTTTAAAAAATATTTGCTATGAGATGATTCTCGGGGAGGGGAGGACAGATACCAAGGAAAACTAAGATTATGTAAAGAACAAAAGACATCAATAAAATCTTACTTAAAAATTCAGGGTCCCCAAGTTAAGGAGTCTTGGGAAGGAGACTTCAGTGCAGGAGCTCCTCTGTCAATGCCTATTAGCAAAGGGCCTGCAATTTATACTATCAGAGGGTTTACCTGAGACACTGAGACAGTGGGTCAGTGATTTATCCAGTTTACAGCGGTCATCTCTGATTCACAATGTCAAAAGCAAGAGTTTTATCATTTGCCCTACACAGTCATTAAAACTAGAAGGAAATGGTGGAATTAATTAGGTATATGCTGTTCTAAGAGGACATAATGATAATAACAACAGGTTTGCAAAGTGCTTTACAAATAAATATCTCATTTTATCCTCAGAACAACCCTGGGAAATAGGTGCTATCAATATCCCCATTCTACCAATGAGGAAACCAAGGTAGAGAGCTGTTAAGTGACTTGTCCAGGATCACAGAGCGAATTTTCTTACTTAAAGCTTCCTTACTTAAGGTTCAGTGCTCTATCCACTGATTCACCAAGCTGCCTAGCCTGTCCTAATGGGATAAAAAGGGCTATGGTTTGGGGAAGAGGAAAACTACCTTTTTTTAGAAGGAGAGAAGCCTGCATGTGAGAGAAAAATAATCCAAACTATAGTATTGGTGGGTGGGAGAGAAGGAGTAAGCAGAAGTCCTGGAAAGAGTGGAGTAGGCTAGAGGAAGGAAGCCAAAAGAAGAAGAATTGGAGGTTGGCAACAGAAAATGGAAAAATAAAACTCCCTGGTGTCTAAGTTTCCCTAGGAAGGGTCTTGTGCTGTGCAAGAATATTGACGAATTACAGGAGGCTGAATTTTCCTGGTCTAGTCAAACAATCTTGGAATTTAGAGCTATAGGGAAACTTCAAGGCTGCCCTCACTTACACTTACTTGAGGGATTAAGCAGAAAAGTATCCACGATCATATTGGCGTGAAGCCCCATCAAGGATTGAGGCAGCCTGGACCTGGAAAAGGCTTGGACTCTGCTTCTCAGCAATAACTCTCAGCCTTTCAGAGATGCTTTTCACTGTGAGAAGGAATCATCTATTTTCATAGTTATATAGACAAAAAGTGAAACATACGTAGAAGACACTTCTAAATCCTATAGCATATTTGTTATATAGACTCAGGTGGAGAACCCAAGAAGTCTAATTTCTAATTTGGTCCTAGAGAAAGAGGGAATCTTGGAGTTTCAAATCCCTACTCTCAAATTCACTCATACAAAAGGTTCTGGTTAGTTTTCTCACCAGATGTCTGAACAACTCATGAATAATAAAAGTCAGAGAATGTCAGAGCTAGAAAGGACCTTAAAGATCATAGTCCAATCTCTTCAGTATAGAGTGACTTGTCTAAAGTCACATGAATAGCAATAACAAAGCCAAAATTCAAAGCCAGGGCCTGTGACTCTAAATCCAATGTCTTTCCCCCATGCCACGCAGTATTCTAGATGTCCTCCCTGTCAGTTTTACCCTGCTCTAATCCATCCTATCCATTGCTGCCAAGTTCATCTTCCAATGTTGCTCATGTTATAATGGAGGGACTGGCCAAGAGAGTCCAGTACTCGGAACATACTGAGACATGCCCTGATCAGTGGCCTATACAAAGCAAAAGCAGATTTTTCCTTGCCTAGTTCCACTCCAACATGATATTTATCCATGCTCACTTTGGTGTGAAGACCGATAGAAAACGGTTTAAGGAGTGATGACAGCCTGGACCTGAAAAAGGCTTGGGCTCTGCTTCTCAAGCATAACACTCACCTTTTCAGAAATGCCCTT